TGCCCGCCCTGGTCTTTCCTCTTGGGAGAATCCAGGAATATTGGCTGATCTTTCAGGAGGACCGAATCGATAGTAGCTGAGTAGTGGTGAATGGTTAGCAACTATTACGGCCTCCGGCCATCTCCGGGCCAAATCGTTAGAAGCTGGCCTAGATTTGCCAGCAGAATGACCAGAGTTTGGGCCGTGGGGAGGGAGAATTTAAAGCCCCAAAGAGGAAGGCACCAAATTCCCTCAAGGAAAATATCCTTTTACGCTTGAGCAAGCGGAAAACCCCTTCCTTTATTTCCGGCAGAAAAATCTCCCCCAATTTCCCAGCCTTGTCGGGCTCCAATTTCCCCCCCCCCCGGCTGCCCATTTTGTTTTTAAATGCACCAATCTCCCACACACACACACACACACACACCAAATCCTAAAAAGGCCTGGTTTTGCTGGTGGGTTCCCCCCTTCTCCTTTCCATCAGAATATATATATAAAAAAATGTGGGTGGAGAAAGCCCACCCCCACAAATTTGGCCTGTTGAAGGCAAAGCTGAACCTCCACCGGCTTAAAGCTTCAAACCTTAAACAGGAAAAAATGACAATGGTTTATCTATCTATCTATCTATCTATCTATCTATCTATCTATCTATCTATCTATCTATCTATCATCTTTATTTCTCTATATCATGTAATCTATATCTAATCTATCATCTATTTCTCTATATCATCTCATCTATATATCTATCATCTTCTACCTCTGTCTAACATGTTTTATATCTATCTATCATCTATTTATATCATCTATATCTAATCTGTATATCCATCATCTCTCTATCATCTCTCTGTCTAACATGTTTTATATCTATCTATCTATCTATCTATCTATCTATCTATCTATCTATCTATCTATCTATCTATCTATCTATCTATCTCTGTCTAACATGTTTTATATCTATTTATATCCACCATCCATTTGTCTCTGTCTGTCTGTCTGTCTGTCTGTCTGTCTGTCTGTCTGTCTCTATCTATCTATCTATCTATCTATCTATCTATCTATCTATCTATCTATCTATCTATCTATCATCTATTTATATCATCTATATCTAATCTGTATATCCATCATCTCTCTATCATCTCTCTGTCTAACATGTTTTATATCTATTTATATCCACCATCCGTCTCTGTCTGTCTCTCTGTCTCTCTCTCTCTCTCTCTCTCTCTCTCTCTCTCTCTCTCTCTCTCTCTCTATCTATCTATCTATCTATCTATCTATCTATCTCTGTCTAACATGTTTTATATCTATTTATATCCACCATCCATCCATCCGTCTGTCTGTCTAGCTATCATCTCTCTATTTATATAATCATCTATAACTATCTAATCTATATATCCATCATCTCTCTATCATCTATCTAACATGTTTTATATCTATTTATATCCATCTCTATCTGTCTGTCTATCATCTATCTATCTATCTCTATCTATCTATCTATCTATCTATCTATCTATCTATCTATCTATCTATCTATCTATCTATCTATCTATCTATCTATCTATCTATCATCTATCAAGGTAGAAAATGGGCACCTTGAAAATTTCTCCCCCCGATTACAGAAAATTTCTCTGTCCCAGCTCGCGGGAAACTTATTTTTCAGTCTTACATTTTTTTTTCCAACGGCACCTAAAATCCAGGCTAAGGCAGAGTTAAAAACCTGCGTTGTGGAGGCCAACACCAGCAGGCCCGTCCTGTTGGGTGGCTGACAGAGTCTTGCTGACGCGGGACGCTCCTTCCAGCTTCCAAAAAGACTCGGATGACCCTGAAAGCCCCTTTCTTTCCCCCCCCCTCCTTTCTCCGGCCTTCCCACCCCAGCGGCTTTGCCAAAACTGCCTTGGGAAGAGGCATGGGGCCGTCTTCCCAAATCCCGGCCCAGCAGGAAGCAGCGGCCTCTATAGATAGAACGGTGTGTGTCTGTGTGTGTGTGTGTCCTGTCTCTTCCCTCTTCACAATGGACAGCCTGTGCAAGCCAGCAGCTATCCTGGCTTATCTAATCAGGGGTTCCTTCCTCCCCAAAACGCGGAGTTTCCATTCGGGCCCGGCTGGCGCCCGGGGGAGCTGATTCAGTCCTTCCTTATCCTGCTCTGTCGTTGGGTTCCTGTCCTTTTCCGTGGCAGCCCTGGCTGCCTCTTTTGGAAGCTGCGAGATTTACCTTTGGGCAGCAGTTTTTGCTATCGCAAAAGTTGTGGACTTTCTGCTTTTTAATCGAGCGGAGATGCCCCCTCTTCCGGCTCAGAAGTCAAGCCCTCTCCAATAGACTTTTGCTTTGAGCTACGTGCCGTTGGGGGTCCGGAGTAGCACAGGGTGACTCCCTTTGGAGGGAAGAAACGAGGCAGAATCAGGAAGGGCTGGGGTCTCCGCCCTCTCCTAAGAGCCCGGTCACCAAGCTTCTAGTCCTCGATGCTAACCTGCAGCTCGGGATGGATGCAGGAAGCTTGACTGGGTTTAAATCAGGGGTCTTCAAACTTGGCCCTCTTATGACTTGTGGACTTCAACTCCCAGAATTCCTCAGCCAGTGAGTGTGCCTGGCTGAGGAATTCTGGGAGTGGAAGTCCACAAGCAGGGGTCTTCAAGCTTGGCCCTTGGATGACTTCTGGACTTCAACTCCCAGAATTCCTCAGCCAGCGTCCGTGGCTGAGGAATTCTGGGAGTTGAAGTCCACAAGCAGGGGTCTTCAAGCTTGGCCCTTTGATGACTTGTGGATTTCAATTCCCAGAATTCCTCAGCCAGCGTGAGGGAACTATGACCCTTTTATGACTTGTGGACTTCTACTCCCAGAATTCCTCAGCCAGTGTCCATGGCTGGGGAATTATGGGAGTTGGTCCACAAGCAGGGGTCTTCAAACTTGGCCCTTTGATGACTTGTGGACTTCCACTCCCAGAATTCCTCAGCCAGCGTGAGGGAACTATGACCCTTTTATGACTTGTGGACTTCAACTCCCAGAATTCCCCAGCCAGCAAGGGTTTGCCAAAATTCAGCATGGATAGGGCAAGAAACAAAAGTGGCATCGCATATCGCATATTTTTGATAGGGTAAATGTCTTAATAGACGGTGGGAATGTGGTAGATGTAATATATCTTGACTTCACCAAAGTGGGGGGGAAAAACCCAGCTGGCTGAGGAATTCTGGGAGTGGAAGTCCACGAGTCTTCCAAGTTGCCAAGCTTGGAGAAGGCTGATCTAATTCAGTGGGTTTTTTTCAAACTTTAAGAGGGGTGGGCTTCAATTCCCAGAATTCCCTAGCCAGGTTAGCTTTGCTGGCTGGGGAATTCTGGAAGTTTAATGTTTGGAGGGAAAAAACCCACACTGATTTATTTTTATATAATCCCTAACAGAAGCAAGTTACCTTCCTTTGGGGAAGAAACTTTCGGGTGTGTAAAAGGGGGAAAACGTCCTCCAATCCAGTTTCAGCCCTTCCGGGGAATATTCGAATGGACATTCAACCGGAACATGGGCGTCCCAGGTTGGGAGAAGCGGCTGGGCACAAGTCTGAAACGCCGGGAGTTCCTGGGGGACGCCATTCAAGGCTGCCCCCGTGTCGGTTGTGGGTTGCGACAGGGAGCTTGCCCGTCTCAAAATCCGTGTTCACGTTTGGGAAATGAACATTTGTGCTAAAATGGAGTGGTTTCGTCGGACAGGGAAGTTGTGAGTAAAAACCCTCCTCGGTTGATCCACATTACGAATTGAATTTGCCCTCCGTCTTCGGCACGCAGGCAGTCCTGGACTTAACGACCCCAACCAGGACAAGAATCTTGGTTGTTAAGTGGGGCAGTTGCGAAGCCAGCCGTGCCCTTGTTTTATGACCTTTTTTGTTAAGCAAATCACTGCGCGAATCAGACGGTCATTAAGCAAATCGAGCTGATCGGAAGACAGCCAGGAATGTCATAAAAGGGGGATCCAGTGATCCTGGGAGGCTGCAGGTGTCATAAATATTGAATTTTGGTCACTGACAAGGGGATTGCTATGGCGGTTATAAGCTTTTTCAGCGTCGTAACTTTGAAACAGCTGGTCGTAAGTAGAGGACCTCCTGCTTACGGCTTACAGTCATGGAGTGTGTGTCTGTTGCTAAGCGAAACATTTATTCAGGGAACTTGGCACCCTTTTACGCCCTTCCTTGCCACAGCTGTGAAAGCAAATCCCTGCCCGTCATTAAGTGAGTCACACCGTCCTTAAGCGAATCCAGCTTCCCCCTTGACTTGGCTTGTCCGACAGTTGCAAAAAGGGGACTCCGGGAGAGTGCGACCGTTGTAAATACGAGTCAGCTGCCAAGTGTCCGAATTTTGATCACGTGACCACGGGGGAAATGCTGCAACGGTCGCTAAGTGGGAAAAATCGGTCGTAAGGCACTTTTTCCTGTGATGTAACTTTGGTCACTAAATGAACTGTCGTTAAGTCGAGGACTGCCGATATTCTTGTCTTTTTAGACCAGGGGTCTTCAAACTTGGCCCTTTGATGACTTGTGGACTTCAACTCCCAGAATTCCTCAGCCAGCCTCCATTTTGTTTGTTAGATTTAAGCCAGGGGTCTTCAAACTTGACCCTTTGATGACTTGTGGACTTCAACTCCCAGAATTCCTCAGCCAGCTGTGCCTGGCTGAGGAATTCTGGGAGTTGAAGTCCACCAGTCATCAAAGGGTCCTAGTTCCCTCACGCTGGCTGAGGAATTCTGGGAGTTGAAGTCCACCAGTCATCAAAGGGTCCTAGTTCCCTCACGCTGGCTGAGGAATTCTGGGAGTTGAAGTCCACCAGTCATCAAAGGGTCCTAGTTCCCTCACGCTGGCTGAGGAATTCTGGGAGTTGAAGTCCACAAGTCATCAAAGGGTCCTAGTTCCCTCACGCTGGCTGAGGAATTCTGGGAGTTGAAGTCCGCGAGTCATCAAAGGGCCCAGTTTGAAGACGCCTGTTTATTAGACAATACATTTCCCCAACTTCTTCCCCCCCCCCAGCCTGGAAAAAAATAAAGCAAAACCGCCTCAGAGTCTCGATGTACAAAGTGTATTATAATAATAACAACAATAAAAAAAGAATTTCTGGTTAATTCACTCGCAGCAACCTCCATAAATGCATTAGCTGAGTGTTTTCTCCACCTCGGCAACTTTTTAAAGATGGGCTGGACTTCAACTCCCAGAACGCCCCACCTAGCGCATGCTCTGGCTGGGGCATTCTGGGAGTCGAAGTCCCTCCAGCTTAAAAAAAAGGTTGGAAAAAAACACCGCTTCGCAAGGCAGCAACAGGAACGTGGGGCCCACCGAGCAGGCGCGTCCCGAGTTCGAGGGGCCCTCCCAGCTCCAGGCGCCGGATGGAGAAGAAGAGGAAGCTTAAGAGACGGACTCAACACCAAAAAAAAAGTTCATTTTCTTTTTCCCGATGCGTGAAAACAAAGCTGTCTCTTGCGCGACGGAGGCGGGCTCCTCCTGGGGATTTTGTGCCAGCCAGCTCCTCCGTGCCCCGAGTAAGGCAGTCCATTCCGCCCAGGTGTCTTCGCCAGGCATCTCTGTGCCACAACTCCCCCTCCCCAGACCCCCAGACCCCCCCCTCACACCCAGACCTTCTCCCCAGCGGCATCCAGGTCCTGCGAGCAGCAGCCGCAGCAGCCCACGCTGTGGTAGCGGCTGGCGGGCAGGTTCTTGTAGATGGCCTTGCTGTAGGGCACCAGGCAGTAGCCGAGCTGCAGGCGGCGGGCCAGGCGGCAGTAGGCAGCCAGGGCCAGGACCAGGAGGGGCACCAGCAGGGTGAAGCCCACCACCAGCAGGCCCACGGCGGCCGAATCGTGCAAGTGGCTGGTGCAGTAGTGCTCCTGGGTGTTGAGGAACTGCGGAGAGAAAAGGGGAAAGGGGCCGTCGGGAATCTCCTCTAAGCAACCCAACAGCCGGGCTCTGGCACAAACACACACACACGTACCAGAGAAGCCGGCTCTCTGGGGCACCCATCATCATCATCAATAATAATAATAATAGTTGGAAGGGACCTTGGAGGTCTTCTAGTCCAACCCCCTGCTCAGGCAGGAAAACTCTAGGCCATTTCAGACTAATAATAATAATAATAATAATAATAATAATAATAATAATAATAATAGTTGGAAGGCACCTTGGAGGTCATCTAGTCCAACCCCCCGCTCAGGCAGGAAACCCTATCCCATTTCAGACAAGTGTTGGAGAAAGGAGAGAGGAAAGAAGGAAGAATAACAGAATAACAGACTCGGAAGGGATCTTGGAGGTCATCTAGTCCAACCCCCTGCTCAGGCAAGAGACCCTATCCCATTTCAGACAAATGGCCGTCTGATCTCTTCTTAAGAACTTCCAGTGTTGGAGAAGGGAGGGAGGGAGGGAGGAAGGAAGGAAGGAAGGAAAGAAAAAATAACAGAATAACAGACTCGGAAGGGACCTTGGGGGTCATCTAGTCCAACCCCCTGCTCAGGCAGGAAACCCTATAGTACCATTTCAGACAAATGGCTGTCCAGTCTCTTCTTAAAAACTTCCAGTGTTGGAGAAGGGAAGGAAGGAAGGAAATAGAAAAAGGGGGAGAAAAGAGGAAGGGAGAGAGGGATGGCAAGGGAAAGAAGGGAGGGTTGAATGCTGGGAGTGGAAGGGAGAAAAGAAGGGAGAAAGGGGAAGAGAGAAAAGGGCAAGGGGGGAAGGAAGGGAGACAGAAAAGAGAAAAGAAAGGAGTGAAAGAAAAGAAGCGAAAGAGGAAAGAAAGGAAAGAGGAAATAGAAAGGGAAGGGAAAGCGACAAGAGGAGGGGAAAGGAAGATAGAAAAGAGGGAGGACGAAAAGTGAGAAAAGGGAGGGAGGTAGAACAGAGGAAGGAAGGAGAGGAGAAGAGAAGGAGGAAGGTAGAAAAGAGAAAGAAGGGGGCAGGGCAGAAGAGGGACCCCTCCCCTCTCCTGGGACTTAGCAGCAGGAGCAGGAGGAGGAGGAGGAGGAGGTGGGGGGCAGCCTGGGCTATGCCTGGAATGCGTCTTTTGGCCCCAGGAGGTTATCAGCCCCCAGCCTGGGGATCTGGCTTGCTTCACCGCCGGGGACAGGCGGAAAGGTGGCAGGCCAGCCGGTGCAGCTTCCCGCCAGGAGGGGCCTGGGGGTTTCCTGTTGACCGGCTGCGGTGCAGAGAAGCAGCCTGCCAGCCCCCAGCATCACGGGAGACTCGCTCTGGGCAAGTGCCCAGACCCATTTCCGAACCGCGGCCACGGCTGCAAACTGGGTTTTTTTCCCCCCAACGTAACCACAACAACAATAATCATAATGACAACGATGAAGACGCACCGAAATTAGTACATCAGGAAGGCTTACTGACTACTGGAG